CCAGTAGGACTGCAACTCATGTACTAAAGGTTATCTTTTTTCCCTGAAAAGTTGCATGTTTTATTTTGCGGTATACGGAGAGCTACTGCTCAATGGTAAACGGAGGAGAAGTGATAATCATAACAGGCTTAAAAGAGGACCAAGGTATTTAAAAAGGAGTCCACATTGACCTCAGCAAACACCTCGTTCTCGAAGAAGTCGTTTTTCAATTAAGCCTCTAGATTCCAACTTCAAATGGTGGTGTGGACTTTCTGTAAATCTTCAATCAAGTAATGGTCATAGGCAAAGGGGGTAGCCTGAAAAATTTGGCCCCAGGCTTTTCCGTACTCTAATGGCAAAGCTTTCCTTTTTGTCCTTCATCCAAGGGCTAGTAACCTCACGGGGATTTCTTTCAATAGTTTGATTGTTCATAATATATAGTAATTTATAAAGCAAGCAAGATATTTCCTTGGACAAAATTCGATGGCTTTGTTTTGTTACTGCTTTGATTCTCCTTTAAACTTCTGTTTCGGTACCTTTCAGTCACCGCCCTTTTCTCAATTTTTCCTCAGGGTTTTTCTCATCATTTGTCTAGCGCCACGTTCTTATTCCCCTCCTTACAAATGTTTACCCATACTCTCATATCAACCTTTATACTCTATCTTAACCCGTTATTTCATTACATTAATAATCTCTTCCCAATTGGGTTGGGTGATGTATTTGGTGAATGAGTGGACCAAATCGGGAACTTTATTCAGATTATCAACACGCTCGCTTAAGAATTGAAATGTTAAATGTTAAATAGCATCTCGCTAGCAATGGATTTCTTTTTCGGGATTTCGAGATATATCAAATTGATGTGGCTCCAGACAAAAAAATGGAGAAAAGATCCGCCCTGATATGTGATAAGAATCAGTAATTCGTTATATAGAATCCCTGGAGTAGGACTCTTATACTTTGGTGGTAAATTCTTACAAATAATGAAAACTCTTATTTACAGCAAGTCGTTATCCAGAGTGAAAGCGGATTGTGCTTTTTAGATTTCTAGGCGATTGCGTGTAGGCTTAGTGGTAATATAAATCGGGGCCTCTCTCGCGACCGACAGAAAAAACCGAACACCAAAAATCTACACCTTAATTAAATTTTTATAAATAAACAATGTTTCAAGATAATCTCTTCAAGTCTGTAATGGTAGCTATCTGCTAGTCAATGACTTTTATTAGAACATTTAAGAGGATTTAAAACACAGATTAAATTAATTTTGAATTTTGAAAAAGATTCATTTTCAGATTTTCGTTTATTTTGCAGGTTTGGTGTTCGGTTTTTCTGTCGATCGCGAGCCTCTGTAAAGTATCTTGTGGGGTCGGTGCTTACCCGGCTCGCCTGGATACAAGAATTGCTTGGTATTATCAAAATATCGGTATATGTTAACGTTCTTTCATCGAGATAGTGAATTCTTGTTTGGATTTAGTGTAAAAATATTTCCGGTAAGCATGCTAATACTCCTAAGGTCAGTGATGCCTGCTAAAATCCGTATCAAATTCTCCTTTTTCTCTTTGCCAGCCGTCGATAATACCAATAAGCCAGTCCGTTATTCTGCCCAAGCAGAAAAATGACGTTTTAGCGTAGTCTCCTGATTGCCATCTGCCACAACATATCGTAACTAATGATCTTCGAACAATTTGATTTAGTGCGATGAATTGTAATTCATGATTATCTAGTGCAGTTTAATTTGTGACTCGTAGCACGAGACGAAGGGTAACCTTACGAGGGTGGATGATGTATCTGGGTTGGCTCTACGTAAGCGAAATAAGAGGCGGGAAATGAGTCCTCTTTCAAAGAACTTCTTAATTGAATTATAAATTTATTTCAAGTCAAATACTAAGTTTTGAAAAGATCATACGAAAATTTGAGCCTTCTTTATATGAGCAGTAAGAGCTATATGTATCTAATACAGTATTGAAGAGAGATTCGAATGATCAAAGTCCTTCTGAATGGTACTTAACTTCCGCCTCTTATTTCGCTTACGTAGAGGTTGGGTAGTAAAGAGCCCGTCAAGATCTTAGCGGCTTGGCATTCAGCCCTTTTCCCCTAATAACTGAAGCCTAGGTGTTTCTCTTTACTTATAAAGCATCATCCTCTCTTTCTACTTCTAGTCTTCTCTTCCCAAATTATCGAACATTATCTTTCTTCGCTCCGATTGTATCTACTGTAACCGTTCAAAAATGCAGAGATCTAATGCTACATTGGTCGACGGCCTCTCTAGTAGCGGAGCAGATTACTCGGCAGGCAACATGGCCACAGCAAAGCTACCCACCAAAGAGAAAATGTGCTCTGATTCAAAGCAACAGAAATCAAGTTCATCTCAACATTCCGACGATTACACATTCGATGGTTTAACGGGATGGAGGCGGTTCCGAATGTTGCGTCCTGGTCGAGGAATGTATTATGATATTCGCCGTCGACTACCATACTACCAGAGTGACATTTCAGATGCTGTAAATTACCGCACTTTTGCGAGTACTGTGCGAATGTACTTTGTAAAGTTCGAGTCCCCAAGAGAGTCCTTTTTTAGAGATCCATGCTAACAATGTGTAAAAAGCCTGCTTCCTGCCTTAGCCTACACTTTGGATATGAACCGCCGAACTAGTGGTTTTTACGGAATCAACGAATCACTTCTTTCATCCGCTCTTGCGGCAATGATGTTCAGTACCATTGCCGCACAGCCCTTGACTATCGTTGGTATCACCGGTCTGATATCATTGTTCAACTACACCATTTACGACATCATCAAGATGTACGATGCCTCTATATATCCCCAGTTCATGGCTTGGACTGCCATTTGGGCTGCAATTTGGCATTGGCTAGTCGCCATCTGGAATCTTTGTGATTACATGCGTTATGTCACCGATTTCTCTAGCGAAGCCTTTGGCATGTATGTTGGCATTGTTTATATGAGTGAGTTCTCCAGTATTTTCCTCTTTCAAATCTGACACTGAGTGTTAAATAGTTAAAGGAGTCGAGGAGCTAGTCAGTTTGTTTGATACGTATGGAAGTGTGGATGGGTACCTAAGCTGCGTTATTGCTATCCTCTATTTTGGCACCGTATATGCCTTGGAGAAGCTTGGCCGTGGAACGCTGGCAAAGCCATGGGCTCGAGGTGTACTTGCTGACTACGCATATCCCGTGAGTTTCAACAAAAATGTCACCTCAAGTCGTTTACTGATAGTCTTTCCAGATTGCTACCATTTTCTGGGTTGGATTCTCTCACATTCCAGGAACAATCAAAAGAGCAAAGATCAGTGTTCTACCCATTAGTCGCTCCTTCTATCCGACGCAGCCTCGAAATTGGCTTATAGATTTCTGGAATCTCGATGCAAAATGGATATTTGCCGCGATGCCCTTTGGATTCTTAATTATGCTTTTATTCTATTACGATCATGTTTGTATTTGTTCCTCGGATCTTCGCTCAGAGTTGACTTTTAAAATAGAACGTCAGTAGTTTAACTGCACAAGCAAAGCAATTCCCTCTCAAGAAGCCAGGCGGCTTTCACTGGGACTTTTTTCTGCTCGGCTGCACAACATTTATTGCAGGAATCCTAGGTATACCGCTTCCGAATGGCCTTGTTCCACAAGTAAGTTATATTCCACCATTTGAAGACATCAATCTCTGACCTTATTGGCAGGCACCTGTACACACAGAATCACTCACACTCTACGAAACCGAAGTGAAGATTATTGTTACCGAAGAAGGCACGGATAACGAAATCCGTCGCCCAATTGTCAGAGCCGCAAGTGTAGTTGAGCAGCGCGTTTCGCATTTTTTGATGGGTCTCGGCATAGTTGGCACCATGACTGGGCCCCTTCTAATCGTGCTGCACACGATGCCACGCGCACTGTTTAGTGGTGTCTTTTTTGTCGTCGGTGTAAGATGCATACTTTTTTTTTTACACACTCCTTCCCCTTTGAGATCTCCGTTCCTATTTAAAGTTATCTAACCACGGATCAATACAAATAGTGGGGTTCAATTGAGACCAACGGCATAACGCAGAAGCTACTATTTCTCTTCAGTGAACGCCGCTTCATTCAGAGAGGAGAGCCTCTTCTCCGAGTCAAAAGGAGCAAGATTTGGCTCTATTTACTGTGTCAAATTATTGGTGTGGCTGCCCCAGTGGCAATCTCACTAACTATTGCTGCGATCGGTATATTTCCATCGCCCGACGCTTAAGAATTTCAAGACCACTAACAACAATCTTTCTGTATAGGCTTTCCAATCCTAGTCTGCATTCTCATCCCCTTCCGATGGGCCGTAATGCCACGCTTTTTCACTGTCGCAGAGCTCGAGATTATGGACGATTTGACAGCCAATAATGAAGTCGTCTTGGCAAGTTTAGGCGGTGCACCGAAACTTCCCGAGAAATCGACGCCGGAGTAGTATAATTTAGAGGGAAGATTTGATGAAAGAATGAGTGGGATGCCAAGAAATAAGGAGGGTAGCCATCATCGTTAATTCGAAACGGAGGAGTGTGTGAGATATAGGGAAATTCATTGGTTGAAGGGTGAAAGGACCTGAATAATTCCCTTCGTTGTTGCATAAGAACCGCAATCGAATTAGAATAAACATGAAATGTATTTCTAGACGGAATTCCTCTATAGTGGTAGATTCTTGCACTTAACGCAATTGTTTCTATCAACTCGCTTCAAAATCGACTTTTAACCTAGAAAGAATGTAAAGCTCAATTTCCTCTTGTACATTAAAGCAAATATCAAGCTTCATGCGAAAAAGTGATTTAGATACTCCAATTTATACTTAGGATTTGAAAATAAGAAAGGAAGTAGAGAGGGGAGATGAAGGAATGCGAGCTCTTCCTCAAGCCTTCACGCAGCGATATTTGAAAGGGCATCTCTTGATCAAGATAACATGTTATCAAATTCGTAACAAACAATCACGCTTTATATTTAAAATTAGATCTTTAATGAATCCAAGCCTTATATATTAACGAAGAGGCAAGTAAACTGAGTCAAGTGGCAGATGGACGTGCTCGCCTTCTCACGTACCGGCAACACAACTCTCCGCACAGACAATCTTTGTCGAGGCCCTTCCAATACTCATGTGAGTAGTCTACCGTAATCTCCTCTCCAGCTTCAATTCTTTTAGAGACCAAGACAATACGTTCAATTCCCAGCCAGTAAAATTTCTGGAATTGGCTATTCGGCGCGCATGAATGGTTGACAAAGCGTGTGTAGTTACCTATTCAAAGAAATCTGTTAGACATAGACGAGACAATTTGAGGCAAAAATTAACGGACCCATTCGTCCTTGGTATATTTGGTACTGATTCTCGGTGCTCTTGCTCTGCATTACATCTTTACCTTCCAATCCCTTGGTAACCAGTCCTACGAATTCGCCAATTGCCGAACCGCGAGCAAATTCCTAGGGCGCATATTTGTTAGCGGAGCTTTGAATAAGGTGAGACTATGCTAGCACGGTACTTACGCTGCGTGCGATAATGCCGTTGTTCATTCCCCGTGGAGTACGAAAAACCTGTACAGGAGGTGGTGCCTTGCAGCACCCAAACAACTCTGGAAAACAGCGGCATTCATTGACAGAAGAGTTATTCGATTGCAAGCATCCGCATTCATGGCAAGATACCGTACTAGAATTATCCACCATACGCGGATCTTCATTACCCCAAGCAGCTTCATCTATTACGGACTCCTCAATGTGCGAAAACTCAAAATCCGGGTCCCACTGTGTGTAGGTGGATTTGAGCGTAACAGGTTTCGCTGTGTCGCAGACAACCCAGTCATGTGGATGTCCAGTATATGCCGATTGAGATTCTATGCCTATGAATTTTAAGAGTTTGCGCCATTCGGGATGTATTGTATCGGCTGCTACTTCTAGGCTAGATTGAAGTCGTTCGAGCCTTGTTGTGAGATTCTTTTCGAATCCTACACGATATTTGCAGAATCTATAAATTCCGGAGCCAGCAAAGGCCAAGCAGGCCCAGCCACCTGCATCCTTGATTTCTCTGTATCCTCGCCAGATTGCTCTGCCACATGTCAGTTATTGTTTCGTAATATCGAGGGATTTGATAATATCATTGGTGCCAAAGTGAGTAATTACATAAATAATGCGATCATCGACCTTGGATGTGGAAACCTAGACATGAGGTAATACGCACAGTCTGTTCCTCAGCTCTTTTTCTGACCACTTGAGGATTGCACAAGCCTCCCGGAGAGCAAGCATCTTGGTCTCTGTGTTAGATAAAAATGGGTTCTGGATTCCGATTTCTTTGACTCGATAATCAAAGCAGTCAACCCAATGAGCTTGAATAATCGTTTCCAAGGAGCGACAACGGCGTGTTACTGTTGTGATTTTTAAACAAAGCGAGTTAATGGCTCGAAAAGTCTATTGAAATGTCAGGAAGCCGAACTGGATATTAAGTCATCAGACGAACCTCAATATTAGGCCCGCCACGTGCGATTATTGGTACACAGTCACTGTCCTATTGAAAATCATTAGTCCAGATGTAAAATATAATAATTGGGGGTTTGAGGCTGGAAATACTAGCAAAATTGGGGCAAGCTCAACGTTACTGTATATCTGTTTCCATACTCCAGCAACGAACTTTTCAACCGAGGATGGCTGCAGTTGATGAATGCCATGGTCATTCCTCTTCTTTCTCTGAGGGAACACTCGAGACTCTGTCTGCAATTGTCTAGTTGAGCTGCCTGTCTGGGATGATATACTAGAGTCATCTGGCATCTCATCACAGGCGCCTCTTTTTATCGTTAGTCCTCCAATAGTCTTCCGCCTTTTCTCAAGGGAGGAAGTTTGGTGAATGCTGGGCAGCTCGGGCACTTTGTGGGATGATTCATCCCCCTCCATTATCGTATGGTTAGGCAACAGAGGAGGACATGTAGACACAGGTATTGTGCATTGTTGGTTTAAACATCCTTGTGCTTCTGTTCGATCTAGAGAAATTGAGCCCTAAGCCTCGTTTTAGAAATTTACTGATGAAATAATTGAATAGATGCGGACTAGATCATTTATCTTACTAAATAAATTGGTTGGGACTTGCGTCCCCCAAGTTCATCCTGTGGCACAGATGGATCGATGCAGATCTCAGCATGTATCTTCAGATAAGTGGATTGTTGAGGTGGCAACGAAGCTAATGAAGCGTTCAATTCGACAGTAAAGTCGTGGCGTAGGATGGTGACTAGGTCCTGAATTGCTTTAGAAGGTACCATGGCTATAACTTGAGGTCATGAATAGAAAATGCCAAATGATCAATAATTGTACGTCGCTACAGCAATGATTCTACCTAGGCAAAGCTAGAAAAGAAGGTGAAGATATAATCACGTGATCATCATCCGCTCGGACCTCGACTTGAAGTCTGATCCTCAGAGCTATACGGAGGTCGCGGTCATTTTGAAAGAGATTTTCTCATTTATAGAGGCTTTACAGAGCAGTATCCTGTATCATTTACCAAATAGAGTGAAATAAGAGAAATTAGTAGTTCAATTATAGTATATGCCTCTAAATTACTCCTTATTATTATTATTATTATTAAAGATATAAAACTTTCTTTTTTTAAATAAAATTATATAAGTTAACTATTTTATTATATTTTTATTTTTTCTTAATCTTTTAAATATCCTTCTAAATACTTGTTTTCTTTTTTTAGTTTAATAACTTTTTATATATACTTAGGGATTTTGTTAATTTGTTTTTAAATACTATCTTGAGATATATTATATTAATAATTTAGTTAATATGATTTATTATCGAGTAGTCTATATTATTAAGTAGTCTACTTTCATCTTAACTTATACTTTTAAATTCATAGTATTTAATAACAATTAAATCGACTAATTAAAACTACTAAGAATTTAATAATTTAATGTCTATTATATTATTTTAATAAATTCCTATATTATATTCTATCTTCTTACATTTATTATAATATTGATTAAAAAATACTTTTCCATTAAAATTTCCTTCTTTTGTATACTTATTATATTAAATTTAAATATCAACCTCTTATTAAAATAATATATTAAAAACCTCTTATTTAGTAAACATTTCTTCTTAATATAATTAAACAATTGATATATTAATACTTATTTAATACTTTATTTACTATTCAAAATATATAATTCTCTATACTTAAAGATAAATTCTCATAAATTAATCTCTTTATACAATTAATAATAAACTATTCAAGATTTAACTAATATAAATTAAAAAAGATCTAAAAGATTCATTAATTTGAATAAAAAAAAAGTAAATATATAAATTCAAATATCTAATTTCGAAAATACAACTTCAAAATTAAATAAAATTAAAACTATTCCTTAAAACTCTAATTCTATATTCTAAGAAATAATTAATTCTTTATATACAACTTTAAAAACTATAAAAAATTTAACCTTTAAAAATATAATTAATATATACTAATTATAACTTACAAATTTACTTCTATTATATCTTTCGATATTAATAATAATTATTACTATATATGTGTGTTGGGACAGGGATCATGTGACTACGCTAGCGTTGACGCTAGCGTCTTCCGACACTACAGCAATACGTTTCGTAGCCCTAGCTTTTAGAACCTCAAGCAATATAACAACAGTGTGAACCATAGTACTATATTGACTTCACCATCCCCATGGTGATACCAACAATGTGAGATTATAAAGCTTATTTTATCGAAATTATAGAATAACTATTCAAAATGTTATATTTCACTTATATATTTACAATCAATCAAAACCACTCCTTAATAAATTTAAAATCTTTATGAAAAACTCTTTAAAAATTATAAATATAATTAAAATACATCTTTAGTTTAATTTAATACTTTACAAATTAATACGTCTAAAGCTTTTCAATATTCTTTATATCTTTGAACTTAAGAATATAATTTACTATATCTTTTATATTCTTAAATCTAAATAAAAACTCTTTTAAATCTATATCAAATACAAATTAAACAATTACTTTCTTTTTTCAATTCTATAACTTTATAATAATTTACTCGAATTTCCATATAAAGAAATAAACCTTTTATTCTATATCGAAAAGTCATATAAGGAATATTATAAAATATAATAATCTTTTAAATACTTAATTCTTTATCTTTATAAATAATTTTAATAACAAAGAGTATATAAGCTTCTTAATTATTCAGATTCATTATAAGTTATTAATAAAACATGTATTGAAAATGAAAAATATAAATTAAAATGAAAATGAAAATGAGCTATTTAATATCATAGACTACTCGATGATAAATCACATTATTACTTTTTTAGTTCTTCTTTTGTTATTAATTAGTGTTTCCTTTTTAATGGTTTTTGTTTTCATTTATTACTATATAGGTTTAATAGTATTGAGATTAGAAAAGTTGTCCGACTATAATAATTTAAGAATTTAAAAGAACTCGAATATTTTTATTTGATAATAAGAGAAATGTGTAAATATATAATCTATTATAATTATAGTATTAGAAGATTCTTTTTAATATTTTTTATAAACAATAAAAATGAAGGATTTAAAATGTTTTATTGATATCGATATTAATTAATGACTTTTATATCAGGCTTATAAATATATACTTTTATAGTCTTTATATTTTTTCATTTAGACTTTTAATTCGAATAATTAAACTTTTTAATTAGTATTTGTTGGTATTACTATGAGGATGATGAACTCCATATAGTATTATGATTCATATTATTGTTATATTGCTTGAGGTTCTAAAAGCTAGGGCTATGAAATATATTATCATAGTATTGGAAGATGCTAGTGTTAATATTAACATAATTATATAATCTCCATTCTAATATTAATAACTTTCTAAAGTTGCTGGATTGTATTCTTCTAGTTAATATCTCTTTTGCCTATATAACTATTTATTCTTTTAATCTCTTTTAATTTATTCTATAATTTTAATCTTTATAGTATTATTGTTAATTAGGTCTTTAAGAGTTTGATATAGCTTGGATTTAGTTATTATATCTATAGGATTAGAATCTTTATTAATTTATTTAATCTTTATAATCTCTTATATCTTATATGCCTTTTGGATTATTATTATATTAGTTATTAGTATTTTTTTATTAATAATTTTAAATTTTATAAAATAATTATAAAGTGATTTGAAGTTAATATATATAATTAATAAAATTTTATAATTTGAGAAGATCTTATTGATTGTGTTTTTAATTATTATACTAATATTAAAGTCTAAAATTATACTATAGAGTTCTAATATTAATATATTTTTGATAACTTTTTTATATTTGATGAATAACTAATGAATGATATTAGCTTTGTTATACTTGTTTATTAGAACAATAATATATCTAATCTGAAAGAATAAATCTTTATTATTAATAAAGGATATATTGATAAATATAATTAATCTTAAAGAACTCATATCAAATGGAACAAATTGTAAGCCTTTTTTTGAATTATTAATTTGTTATTAAATATGTTTATTAAAAGAATTGATATCTTTTTTGTATAGGATTAATAGTTTGTATAGTATAAGATAGTTTAAAAGCTATTTCTAATTAATATATTATTATAATATATACTTTTCAAGTATGTTGTATAATATATTAAATTCTTTATTGTTATAGACTCTCTTAGTTTTTTATATACTCTTTATATATCAAATAATTCTAATTTAATTAGATATAAGTTTTCATATTATTTCTTTTGATTAAGGTAAATTATATTATTATTTTGTTAAGTAATTGAATTATTATTGAATTTGAATAATATATTTAGTGTAAATGTCTTATACTTTTTTGTTATAAATTTAATATTATAAAGTTCTTTTTGTTTATAATCTGTAAATATATTATTTATTTATAATTCTATAATATTGAATGCTATATTGTTTTTGATTATATGTAGGAGATATGGATTATAAGTTGATTGTATTATTTTGAGAGTATTAATTCAATGTTTATAGTAAATTTTAAATTAGTAGTTATCTACTTTTAAAATACTATATAATAATTGTATTACTTATAGAATAAAACTTTTTAGAATGTTTTTCTTTATTAATAATTATATATAGAACTTTTGAACTAAATTTGATATTGATTATGTATATACTTATATAATATTATGAATACTTATAATTATCTTATTCTTAAAGAATATAATTATTATTATTAATATATTATATTATAAATAATTATATTAAAATAGCATCTTTTCTTTGATTCTTTTATACTTATATTATTAGTTAAGATTTTGAAAACGTTTTATTAATTTCTTTATTCTTTATTTTATTAATAAATTATAAACTGAATATTTTTATGTTTTTAGATATATTTGTAATCGTTACGAATTGAAAAACGTTATTTTCCATTATATTATTAACCTTTTTTCATTTTAATTTGATAAAAATCATTGATATTAAATTATTAATAAATATTATAAAGTAGTTTGTATACTTAATGTTATTGAGTTTATTATTATTTAGATGGAGAATATTAATTTCAATATTTGTTTCTTAAATTCAATATAATTAATATCTTTATTATTGTTTATAAATATCGGAACACATAACCAACAATGTGATATTATATATTACATTTTACCTCATATACATACGAAATGTATAAGTAGGGGTAGTATATATATATAAATATAATAATTCCCTTTTTATATAAAAAGAGTAAATAGAAATAAATAATCCTTTTATTTATATATATTTTATATATATACCTTATTAAGTCTGTTCAATATTGATTAATAATTAATTAAATTTAATTACAAAATAGTAAAATCAAATCTAATAAAAAGAAATATCTTTTAAAAAAACAAACAAAATCATATTAAATTAAATTTATATACAATTTATATAGAAAGATTAGAATATTATATTCTTCATACTATCTTTTCGAATAATATATTAAAAAGAGATTTTTAATTATAATTATAATTTCTTTAGAATAATTTGATTTATATCAATTCTATTTATATCCATTATACTTTTATATATATTATATAAAACATATTTAATATAATATAATATCAAATATTATTATTTAATATGATTTTTAAATCCCTAAAACATTTCTATATAAAGTAGATTTTACATTTTAAGGAAAACAATTAAACTTAAGTAATTTCAATCTTATAAAATTCTAAATAAATATTAATATTATTATATAGATTATCAATTTACAATTCAAATAATATAAAGGATAATAATTATAGG